CAGCCGCCCGACTCCCTCTGCACTCTATTACCTGGTCGGCCCCTCTGTCAGCTGTCCGCCTCCCTCAGCTCTTCATAGGCTGGCCGCCCCCCTCCCTCAGTAATTAATGAGCTGGCCGCCCCACTCCCTCTGTCCACCTCCCTCTCACAGCTCTCCATGAGCCGGTCTCCTTCCCTTACGTCTCAATGAACTGGCTGGCCGGCCGCCTCCGTGATCCAACTGCCCGCCTCTGATCTTAGGCAGTCGGTCACCTCGGGGCCTAAACAGGCTGACAAATCCCAGGTGCCAGGACAAATTTCCTGGTGGCCATGACAACCTTGCACCTGGGATTTGTCGAGCCCTGCTTTATACAAAGCTACATATTTCCTGTCTATTTAACAGCGATATATAAACAGAGACTTTGGATATAAAATACAATTTAAAAAATGGTTTTGAAGGCCTTCCCATGACAGACAATTACCTATACATGCAAATCCACATAAATATACTAATACTAATAATAATAATAATAATAATAATAATATATATATATATCTCTCTGCAGGTAAAAATGTGGGTATGGAAATTTGAAGTTCCAGAAGGCCAAATAGAAGATGTAGAGAACAGCTACAAGTACCTGAGGGTACCACAAACGCATGGCAACCATTAGGAAGAGGCAAGGAGAATAGCAACATCCAAGTACCTTCAAAGAGTCAGACAGGTCCTGAGGTCCCAACTCAATGGTAAGAACAAGCCATCAACACATATGCCCCACTGGTCATCAGGTACCCAGCTGGAATAATAACCTGGCCAAGAGAAGAACTGGTCACAATGGATCTCAAGACCAGGAAACTACTCACTATGAATGGAGGATTCCAGCCGAAATCTAGCACCCAGAGACTGCACACCTGCCGGAAGGAAGGAGGTCGGGGCCTGATGAGTGTCAAGGCCATAGTCCTGGAGGAAACATAGAGCATCCACAAGTACATCATGCAGATGGCTTCCGAACATGAACTGCTAAGGAAATGCCTGAGACTTCAACAGATAGAGGATGCAGAAAAAGACGAGGTTCCTTGGCAAGACAAACCTCTACATGGGGTGTACAACCAGTTGGTAGTGGATGTGGCTCACATGACAAAATCCTACCAGTGGTTGGAAAAGGCAGGACTTAAAGACAGCACTGAGGCACTGATCATAGTAGCACAGGAGCAGGCACTCAGCATCAGATCAATAGAAGCTGGAGTCTACCACACCAAGCAAGACCCAAGGTGCAGACTGTGCAAAGAGGTCTTTGAGACAGTCCAGCACCTAGTAGCCAGATGCAAGATGTTAGCAAGAACAGCATACACGGAGAGACACAACCAAGTTACTGAGATTGTGTACCGAAACATGGATTAGACCTGCCTAAATCCAGATGGGAGATACCACAAAGGTTAGTTGAGAAAGACAGGGCTAAGATCCTGTGGGACTTCAAGATCCAGACAGACAAGCATCGTGGTAGTAGACAAGGAACAAAAGACTGCAGTTGTGGTGGATGTGGCAATACCCAGTGACTAAAATATCAAGAAGAAGGAACACGAGAAGGTGCAGAAATACCTAGGACTGAAAGAAGAACTAGAAAGGATGTGGAAAGTGAAGGCAGCAGTAGTCCCAGTTGTGATAGGAGCACTCAGGGTTGTGACTCGCAAGTTGGGGGAGTGGCTTCAACAGATTCCAGGTGGGACATCTGAGGTCGCTGTCCAGAAGAGTGCAGTTCTAGGAACAGCTAAGATAATGTGCAGAACCCTCAAACTCCCAGGCCTCTGGTAGAAGACCCGAGAATGAGGAATAAACATACCGCCCAGGAGGGGTTAGAAAATCAATTTAGAGAGAGAACAACAGAAGGTAAGCTCTAGTTCAAAAACAATATGTATGTAGGCTGCAACCTTAGTGAAGGGAATCCCTCCAACCCTTCAAAAAACAGGAAGTAGTAAAAGATAGGTAAGGCTGCGCCAATAAAATAAGTAGTAGTAGTAAAAAATAAATATAAAAATAGAGTACCAATAATAATAAAAGTCCACTGGAAAAAGTAATCAGAAACAAAGTCTCACTAATATAACAGGATAGGGTGGGGGTGCAATCCTCAGGAGTTGATCCATCCAGATGGTTAAAATATCCGTATATATGGGAAAGACAAAAAGGGAGATACAACAACTAATAGTGCAATAAGCCAAAATCCAGGGATAAAATGAATGAGAAAAGTAGGTAGTATACTCACATTTGCAAGAGCTGTGACCAGCTCTGGAGTGAAGGGCGTATAGCAGTATAATCCCCGCTTTAAGGATATACAGAAGTGGTACGTCCATCAATACAGTCTGGGTATCCGGGGCTCCGAATAGTGATAAAAGGACAACAATAGTGCCCTCAATATGATAAAAATGAGATATAAAATAGATAAAATTAAACTCACAAGTATAGAGCAGGAATTACTGCTCTATTAATAAAGCGTTGGTGGAATAATCCCCACCTAGGATTTATTTGAGTACAGTATCAGGTAAAATTGCCAGGAAGAGTAAAAAATAAAATAAAAAAGTGCATATAAATTACAATAAAAAGAAAATTGGTACAGCTTAGGTGACCAAAAGACTTTTATTGTTAAAATACACAATTTAAAACCATAATATATATATATATATATATATATATATATATATATATAGGCATTTAGTATACTATAACCAGTGGTGGCTGGTGAAATTGTAAGATGGTGGGGTGTTAGACTCTCCCACAGAATTGTACTCCTCCCTATACAATACAGTACAGAGATACTCATAATACAAAAAGCTGGGCACAATACAAATATACCTAAATAATACAAAGAGCTGTGTAGACTACAGAGATATATACAACAGGTAGAGCTGAGTAAGATATAGAGAGATAACACCCAGAGCTGGGCACAATAGGGAGATAACATAAATATCCCACACAGCCAGGATCAATGTGATAGATTACAGAGAGCTGCAATACAAAGATTCCCACACAGTAGATGTCTCTGTAAAATGTTTTATCTCTCTCTTTATCTTCCAAACCCTCTCTTAACGGTCTCTTACATTATCTCATATTCAGTAGTGCTCCTGCTTTGCTAAACTTTAGCTTTCTATTAAATACTGCTGCTATGAGACATGTCATACTCCTTTAGCTCTCAGCACACAGTGTGCACATGGTTAAAGCATCAAGATGCTGATAGACTCCAACCATGTCAGCTAGTCCTGACTCACTATTAGTTCTCCACACACCGTGTATACAGGTTTGCAGCAGCAAGATACCGATAGACTTTGTATTACCTCTGCTCCTGTCAGTATCATTAATTTGCAGACGTAATATGGGTTGCTGACATGGTGAACAGAAACAACAATCATTACAGATTAAAAAAAGACTGAAATCAGAATCAGATTAGTCCTCAAAGTCCCTGTCCCAGTCCTGTAGTTTGTAGTTTGTCCTGTTGTAACATTTCAACCAGCCACAGCATGAGTGTCTCAGTTCTTGAGCACTTTGAAGAAGATGTTGGGTATGAGCAGTAGGAGTTAATAAAACTATTAGGGACATACAAAAACAGTGCTCTGTGTCAGAAATGCCCCCCTGTTCCTTGTACTCTCCTTTGTACTCATTGGACTTCCCTAGCTTTATGCATATTAATTCAATATTTAATCAGCCCTCAGGCAGTCACTAGGGCTACTGGGGGAGAGAAAAATATATTATATTTGTACATTTGGCAGGGGCAGGAGCTCTATGTTACTTTCAGGATGTCTTCTTGCTTCTCTCTCTTGTGGGCACTACAACCACACTCCCCAACGATGGCCCCTGTATAGACACCAATAGCATGCCTCCACTCATAGGCAGCTAAAATTCCTTCTTAAATTCCTTCTCAAAACCTGCTAAAACAGGGCAGATTTCAAACAAGCCCCTTTTTTGACATGTCTAGATGCTCTCATGTAAGCTTCTCCAAACAGCTACAAGAGGGGAAGGGCCCTTAAGGACTTAAACCTTTTAATTAATTAAATTCCCCCTCACCCTCTCCCAAGTGGCCCTATAGCCCCTAAGAACCCACTCAATATAACTTAATATAACATATATAAGTCATAACTTTCTGATTGGTTCTGAAAACAGCCATGAAATACCCTGTAATTAATATATGGAGAAAAAGAAATATTCAGGCACACATGAGGTTTCCTCTAAAAGGCAGACTTTTTTATTTGAAACAAGGAAGTGGAGACAATGTTTTGGCTTCTCTCTGAGTCTTTATCAAGTTTATTTCTTTTTCTTCCATCTGATGTCTTCAGGGGTTGGAACTCCCTTTCTGGAGCACTCTGCAGGAAGTATTCTCCCTTTTTTAGTGTGTGCATTACACTCTTCTTTTTTTGCAAACAACTGCAATTAATATATAACAGACAACCATCCACAAGTATTCATCTCAAATTATGTTTTTTTCATACTAAACCCATTGCATCTTATCACAATGTACAATGTAGTGGGCGTCATTATTTTTTTCTTTCCAAAAGCAAATACATGGGCATTAAATATATACAAATTGGTTGGGGGCAGAGCTTAACCACCGAGCCGCATGGACGCCATCTTTCAGAGCTTCTCTGAGTCAATGGCTAATCTAAAGCCATCTAGGGTCGCACAGCGCCCCAGACAAACGAGCATAGCATTTAAACTTTCCAGACACGAGGGGACACCCGCTGATGCCCTTCTTATTTGCGCAAAAGGGTAGAAACACCCGCTGCAAAAGACAGGCCCACCTTGCCCCCTCACCGGCAGAGGCCTCGAGGCTATCCTGGCAGCTACTCCAAGACCTTGAGTACCAGTAACCATACACACACGAACAGGGGCCACCCACAGAAGACGGAATGGGGAGTAGAACCCAAAAACAGCAAGCGGGAGCTCCCAAAGATACCTGAGACATCGGGACCCTGCTCCAGCGCCCCGAGCCACAAAATGGCGGCAGAACCCGACCCAGAGACCGGCTCTAACAGCTCGCGATGAGCCCTGAGGACCACAGAGAATACCAGCAGCACCAATCACAACATGCGCAGCAAGTTGAGAGTGATGATTTGGCCCTGGCCACTAAACGCAACATCCGACAACTCCTGACAGAGATGAAACTGATGTTTGACTCCGACATCAATCTGGTCCGGACAGAGATACAAGCCATGACCATGAGAGTTCAGGCCACAGACGATGACCTCATGGACATACGACAAGAGCTGAATAGCATGGGGAACACCCTCTGCCAACTGCAGTCTGCTAACACAATAGTCCAGACTAGGCTAGACACCATAGAGGACCGCAGCAGGCAGAAAAACATAAAAACCCGGGGGATCCCAGACGCTATCGGGCCGACCAAACTACCACACTATCTGAGACGACTCACAGCTGAGCTCCTGCCACACACACAGGCCAAAAAACTAGAATTTGATGGACAATTCCGAATTAACAAGGCCAAGCAAGCACCCATAACAGTGCCAAGAGATGTCATCATGTGATGCCATTACCTATTAGACAAACGTCTTTTACTGGCAGCAGTACAGGACAAGACATACACCTTCGAATCCAGCCATTCTTTCAGGACATTACCCGAAACACACTCCAGTGGAGAAAATCACTGGCACAACTCACCTCTCAACTCCGCAATGAGAAAGTGGAATACTGATGGATTCTGCCTAGGACCCTAGCGTTTACTCAGGACAATGTCGTTCTGAAACTCACCTCGTTATCGGAGGCTCTGTCCTTCCTCCAATCGCTGGGCCTAGCGCCGGGGACTACAACCCCTCCAACGCCACTACTACCACATGCTTGGGACCCTAGCAGAACTGACCCATTCATTCCACGAGGAGACAAGAGAAAGGAGGCAGTTACCTGAATCTTGTACCGGCAGCAGGGTCATCCCGCACCTAACATCATAGTTTAAGTTATATTCATGTTGTATTTATATATGTTTAAGTTGTTACTTACCAGATATGTCACTTTGAACCCGTAGGCAAAAGGGTCCCTATTAGTAGGCCTCATATCTCTCACCAATGGCTCCCGACCGAGCAACTTAGAGTTGTTCCCCCCCGTGGCCCCCCTAGGTTAGGGGTCGGAAATAGAAGGCTGCATAGCATGTTGTACACACACCCACATACCCTTCCCCGGCAAATCAGACAGCAGGTAGGGGCACCCATCACTGACCCATTCTGATGGCCACCCAGTTAGGCAGAGTCAGGATGGGACATCTCACTGATCGATGCCATATAGGCTATTTAAGCCCTATATTCTCATGGTCCACATACCTTCAGTCAAGCAGCAGGGAGCGTTGGGTGTTACATTCCACGACAATAGCCAATTAACACGTAAAGCCATAGCTAGTCTCACGACAAAATCAGAACCTTAACTGACACTACCAAGTATAATTGTTTGTTTATAATATAAAAATGTGTGCACTGTATTTTCCGATTCACTGTTTTATCAACCTGTCTTGCAACCGACATTTGTTTGTTTCTTATAATCTATCACATACTGGCATGTATATCCTTTAATGCACAAAAGAATTATATATATATATATTGTGACAAAAGTACTCCTTTCCCTTGGTACCTTGTCCTGGGATTGGGGTGTTACACACAGTCTTTTCAGGCTTTAGAGACACTTCACACGCTGGATGAGGTAAACTGACTTGCTCTTTTATTGAGGTTCCAAAATAAATGCACAGTAAGGTATAAAGGTAACAAAATATATCAAACAAAAGCCTTGCTCTTCTGAGCACTAACTAAACAAAATAATCAGCTAACTGGGTTGGATGGCTTGTCCATTTCCCAACATAAACATAAACATAAACAGCCTTACTGCTTCAGGGTTTTCAGCTCTCTGTTTCCACTCACAGAAACCAAACACAATCTCCCTTCTTCCTTGGCAGGGGAGTACTTAATAGCACTGGTAATTGACAATCCTTTTCAGGTGAGTTAGATTAGGATTCAAACTCCAGAACTGGACTTCTCACCAGGCAACTTCCAAAATGTGGAGTGGAGCACTGGCCCACCCTACTCTCCAGGTGCTCCACCCCAGGGCCCAAATATACACATATTTAAAGTGCAACATTCATTAGAACATAACACATTTCCCTGGGGCTAATTACACAAAGTAAGAACCTTGCAAAATCTGGGGAGGTATATAGGTTCCTTCCAGCACAATTCCTTGCTTTCTGTCACTATATATATATATATATATATATATATATATATAGATTGTCAGACTATTATTTGTCGAGCAATCTGCAGAAACTTCCCTTTGGTTTCTGGGGTGATTGCTAAATTTTTTAGAACTTTTCTCTCAGATTTCCCTTCATACACACTCATAATTGTACAATATATAAAACAGGTCTATGTGAAGTTCATACTGTCAGGTTCTTACCTGATGGGGAGTCCGGCTCGCAGAGTTACACGCTCACCCTTGCAAAGTAGACACAGACCAGGGTGACCAGGTAAGACGCCACCTGGCCTGTGAGTCTGTGCACGGGGGCTTTCCAGGAAAAGTGCTCCAAGACTCAGTACAGCAGGGATTAGCAGAAGCGTGGTCAAGGGAAGCCAAAATCAGGGAAGCCAGAGGTCAAAGTAGTCCAGGAGGAAAGCCAAGGTCAGAAGCCGGAATTAGACAAGAATCACTGGAACGCAGGTACGGAGTAACAGGAACCAAACAAGGGAACCAGAGTCAATGAACTGACACTGCCCTCAGGGAGAGGCAGTGTCTTATACCTGGCTAATTGGTGATCAGCCACAGGTGTGCTGAGATCATTGGAGCAGCCACAGAATAACGTCCAGCCCCCAGTGCTGGGTACAAGGCAAGATAGACTTCTGGCTATCTCTTGAGCTGATGTGGTGGCTCAGAGGCAAAATAGCAGCCCCAGGACTGCAAAGTACCCTGGTTCAAGTCCATCACCGGGCACTTCTGGGGCGACCTCGTCTGGCCGTCGGGATGTCACGGTGAGAACCGTGACAGTACCCTCCCTTCAAGAACGCCCTCTGGGTGTGAACAGGTGCTTCTTGAAAATAGAACTCCTCATCTTCGGTCTCAGTATCACTAAGATAGTCTTTGTAATCAAAGTCTCCAGTGCGGAGTCCTTTTACAGCCTGGGACTTTATGGTACCAGTTTCGGGTGCCAATGGAAAGAGGTCAAGGTTATTCATTGATTTGGTGCAGGCGGTAAGTACCTTGATCCCAGGAGTCATTTTCTCTGAGCTTTTTTTCTTAGGTGAGTCACCAGGAGCAGAGTTCACGGCTTTCAAAGCCATTTCAAACGTTTCCAGATCTTTTCTGTGGACTTTGGTACCATAGGTGCGATCCGCAGGTAGTTCTCCTTTGGGCAGGCAGGAAGTGGTGATGGTACCAGTTTTAACAGGAGAGTCTTCTGGAAGTGGTGAATTCTCATGATCACTGATTATGTGTTCTTGAGAGACACTGGCATCAGTAGCCATCGTAGTCTGGGTACTCTTCTGCGTCACGGAACGTGGAAACATCCGACAGTACCCTTTACATTTTTCTGGCTGTGTTGCCGGGATAACAGGATGAAGTTGAGTAGTACCTACTTGAAGAGGCTTAGGCCGAGTTGGGCGAATAGGGCAGTGGGAGATAAAGTGCCCTCCTTCTCCACAATAGAAACAGAGACAACAAGCCCTCCTTCTGTCTCTTTCTCTAGATGGCAGTCTTGTTCTAGTGCGGATGAAGCCGATCTCCATGGGTTCCTCCTTGTCCTCTAGAGTGCCAAGTTCCACATGGGTAACATTATGATGACAAGGCAGGTCCTTGGAGGTAGGTTTAGACTGTAGCGACATGGGATTCTTGTATTCATAAAATAATTCCTCTTCTCTAGGCAACCGGGTTCTGCGAGAACCTGAAGTAGGCTTGGGAGTTGCTTTCCTTGATGCAAAGCACTGAGAGTCCATTGCAGACATGAACAACTCCCAGGAGTCCAAGACAGTACTTCTCTCCTGCAGCTTCTGGTGTGCCCATGCCTTAATCCGCCCAGTACACAGGTTAATAGCGGAGTGGACTCTGATAAGGTCGGTGGCGTAGGTTCTAGGTTTCAGGGCAAACAGTAGCTCACAATCCTTCTTGAACATCGTTAAAGCAGAACGGGAACCGTCAAACCTGTCAGGCATAATGACATAGGGTTCTGGGTATATATGTTCCGGGATTGGATGTACTGCTCCTTTAAATGCCAATGAACATCTCTGCAAATCCATAACATTCTTGGACAGGTTGGAGACTTGTTTAGCCAGGGAGGTGAGTAATTTGTATAACTCTGCAGACTCCATATGGTCAGTTCATTATGTCAGGTTCTTACCTGATGGGGAGTCCGTCTCGCAGAGTTACACGCTCACCCTTGCAAAGTAGACACAGACCAGGGTGACCAGGTAAGACGCCACCTGGCCTGTGAGTCTGTGCACGGGGGCTTTCCAGGAAAAGTGCTCCAAGACTCAGTACAGCAGGGATTAGCAGAAGCGTGGTCAAGGGAAGCCAAAATCAGGGAAGCCAGAGGTCAAAGTAGTCCAGGAGGAAAGCCAAGGTCAGAAGCCGGAATTAGACAAGAATCACTAAAACGCAGGTACGGAGTAACAGGAACCAAACAAGGGAACCAGAGTCAATGAACTGACACTGCCCTCAGGGAGAGGCAGTGTCTTATACCTGGCTAATTGGTGATCAGCCACAGGTGTGCTGAGATCATTGGAGCAGCCACAGAATAACGTCCAGCCCCCAGTGCTGGGTACAAGGCAAGATAGACTTCTGGCTATCTCTTGAGCTGATGTGGTGGCTCAGAGGCAAAATAGCAGCCCCAGGACTGCAAAGTACCCTGGTTCAAGTCCATCACCGGGCACTTCTGGGGCGACCTCGTCTGGCCGTCGGGATGTCACGGTGAGAACCGTGACACATACACATATCAAAGCAAGCCTATAAATCCCATTTTAAATTGGTGGAGGTACTGTATCCAGATGGCTGTTTTAACATGACTGTGACATTTCTTTAAATAGTTGTTCAGTTTTAAATGCTCATTTATGACACTGACTACTAATTAAAGGGGCTTCTAATATCAAAGGGACACTATAGGCACCCAGACTACTTCATCTCGTTAAAGTGGTCTAGGAGCAGTGTCCCTGACCTCCTTAGCCATGCAATGTAAAACAATGCAATGTCTACCAAACAGCCATTAAAGGTGCTTCCTGTTCATGTGCTGTGCATGGGGACATCCAGCGTGTTTAAATCCCCCATAGGAAAGCACTGATTA